CTCTGTTTTGGTTCAGATAGCTAGCTTCATGCTAGCTCGTTAGCCGGCTGGAGCTCAGCTGTCAAACCCGTTTAGGAGCCCGGAGCCGGTGGCCTGGTGGGGTGGTTTCGGGGTTGTTTCGGGGTCGTGATGTGAATAGGGGCTTGGAGGTTAACCTGGTGGGTTTTAGGAGCTGAGAGGGGGTGTCTACCCATCTTTATTGCCCATCTTTCAGGTCTGGTTTTGAGGCTTTTGCTGAGATTCGGACTTCCCACTAAATCTGCGCCAGGCACGCCGAGGGGTTAATCTGCAGTGTCAGATTAGGGATTTTGCTGTGTGTTTTTATCTCTTTATTTTTGCCTTGTGGCTGGAGTTGGAGGGCCGTGACAGCCAGCAGGTTTCTGACATTTTCACCGGCACTTTGTACAGAAACCTGCTTCTCCAGAGCGGCTGGACTCCGGATCAGCCTGGACTCCGGGTCTGGCTGGACTCCGGCTGGATTCTGGATCAGCTTTGACTCTGGGTCTGGCTGGACTCTGGATCAGGCTGGAATCCAGCTGAACTCCAGCTGTACTTTGGATCCGGCCGGACTCTGGATCAGGCTGGACTCCGGACAGACTCTGGATCAGACTGGACTCCAACTGAACTCCAGCCGGAATTTGGATCAGGCTGGACTCCAGCTGGACTCCGTCCAGACTCTGGATCAGACTGGACTCCAGCTGGACTCCGGATCAGGCCGGACTCTGGGTGGTCTCCAGGTCTTGCTGGACTCTGGCCAGACTCTGGATCAGCCTGGACTCCGACCAGACTGGACTCCAGCTGGACTCTGGATCAGCCTGGACTCCAGCTGGACTCTGGATCAGACTGGACTCTGGCTGGACTCCTGCTGGAATCCAGCTGAACTCCAGCTGGACTCTGACTGGACTCCGGATCAGGCCGGACTCCAGATCAGGCCGGACTCTGGGTGGTCTCCAGGTCTTGCTTGACTCTGGCCAGACTCTGGATCAGCCTGGACTCCGGATGGACTCCAGTCGGACTCTGGCTAGACTCTGGATCTGGTTGGACTCCGACTGAACTCTGGCTGGACTTCAGTCGGACTTTGGATCAGACTGGACTTCAGTCGGACTTTGGATCCGACTGGAATTCAACCGGGCTCTGGATCCGGCTGGACTCCGACTGGAATCCGTGTCAGCCTGGAGTCTGGATCCGACTAGACTCCAGCTAGAATCCTGCCGGACTCCAACCGAACTCTGGATCAGCCTGGAATCCGACTGGATTCTGGATGAGCCTGGCCTCCGGGTCAGCCTGGACTCTGGCTCCGGCCTCCAGCTGCCTCAGCTTATGCCGCCACATCGTTTCCTATAAATAGAGCAGAACATCTATCGCCTTCCCTCCTGGCTGCGGCTGCCAGCGGCTATGAAAAGCCCAGCCGGGGCAGCTGGACCCCGGGGTGGACGGACGGGTCCCAGCCCCCGTCTGGGTTTCCCTAATGAGCAGGAACCTCTCAGGCTAACGGCCCGACTGGTTGGTAGAAAGCTGCTGCCTCCGTGGACGGATTACAGAGCAGCCCCACTAGGCCGAACCCCAAAGCCCAGAGTTTAGGGGGGGCCCCCGGAGTTAATCCCTCAAGTGAAACGCACCCCTAACAGAGGCGCCTAAGGAGGAAAGTCACACACTGGAAGCCTTAGCAGGGATAGGGATGTCCCGATCCAGCTTTTTTATCCCGATCCCGGCCTATCAGAGCATGTGTTAAAGTCTAAAGTTATTTATCTACTTACTTAGTTGTCAGACTCATGTTGAACAGGGATTTACTCTGATAACAACTTAATGGTTAGGACACAGACCTGTGGGTTACAGATGCTAATGCTAATGCTAGTGTGGGATCAGATATCCGACTGAACATGGGGTACAGATTCCTCCAGAGGACAGAGAGATGCAAACCACTCAAACTGTCTGGCAGAAAAGCCCAAAACGAACGGGGTTGTCTTTAGAGAGACGAGAGATTTGACAGTTTGTGTCACTAAACAAACAAAAACGGAGGAAAGGTGTCAGAAACCGACTTAAAAGTGAAGTGAAATCAGCACAAAGCGCTCAGAGGGACCGAAAGTAAGCAGAGTGAGAAGAGAAACCACCAGAAAAAGGTTTTTAAAATCCAAAATGATATCCCAGAAGAACTGATTCTGGATTCAGACTTATTTCGTTTATTTAGATGCTGTGTTTTCGCACCGGGTCGATCCGGGTCAGAACCAGCCGGTCCGGGTTCAGCTCCAGACCTGGACAGAGCCCCCCTTTCCCCAGCAGGTCCAGGTCTTCTGGGCTTTGGGCTCAGCTGGAAACGGGCTCAGAATCCCAGAGAGTCCCAAAGAGTCCCAAAGAGTCCTAAAGAGACCCAGAGAGGTCCAGAGAGAACCAGAGAGACCTAAAGAGGTCCATAGAGATCCAGAGAGGTCCATATAGACCCAAAGAGGTCCAGAGAGTCCTAAAGAGGTCCATAGAGACCTAAATAGGTCCAGAGAGGACCCCCCCCCTCTGCCTGTGTCTGGAGCTGGGGAGCAAAGCGGTGCGTTCAGGGAACCTGGTTCAGCTCCAGACCTGGGCAGAGCCCCCTTTCCCCAGCAGGTCCAGGTCTTGGGGGCTTTGGGGTCCTGCTGTAGACCGGGTGGATCCGGCTCAGCGTGGCCCCCC